CCTACTTCCCAATGATATAAAAATGATTGTATAGATGATAGGTCAATACCATTCCGTTCATGCTAAAATACATAAGTAAATTAGGTCTTAAATACTTTATATATTTGATTATGAATCATTATCCTCTAGCAATAAATTGAAAAAAATTGGAATCAAATAATAACTATTGACCATGCCAACCAAGAGTTGAAAAGAAAAGTTTTGAGTGAGGAAAAGAAGCTGGCAGAGGAATACGGTGAGCATCAGGTTGCTTCCATCCTTAAAATTGCAAAGACAGCAGTTCATAAGAACAAGGTCAAGCTGCAGACATTGGGGACAACAAAGCTACAGACCAACAGAGGGCAAAAACCACTCTCCACTGACCGGGATGACCACCAACTTACTCCAATGTCACTCAACAACTGTAGGATGACATTAAAGAGTTAAAATTAGCCCATAAATTACTCACCCTCATGTCCACATCCTAGGTGTATATGACTTTCTTCTTTCAGACGAATCCAGTCAGAGTTATATCAAAAATAGTTTTTGATCTTTCAAGCTGTTTAATGGCACTCAGCGGGTGTTGCATGCATCAGTCCAAAAGAAGTTAAATAAAAAGTGCCCATCCATAAAAAAAAGTGTCTCACACGGCTCCGGGGGGTGAACAAAGGCCTCCTGTAACGAATCGATGAGTTTTTGTAAGAAAAGTATCCATATTCAAAACATTATAATCACTACTTAATGTAGCTTGCCCCAACAGTTGTACACGGAAGCAGCTCCAGGCGGAGGACGTATGAGGTCGGCTTTGCGCATGCACCGCTCAGAAGTGACGAACGCGGAAATGCAGCGAAGAGATCAAGACAAAACAACGGTCACTTATTAGAAGTACAAAACGAGGATTTGTAAAGAAGAATGTCGGAGGATTTCGATATAAGCCAAGAGGAGACTGGTTTTCCTTTGCTAAAGTAAGGAAACTTTGCTTCCTTTGCTCCTGTTAACAAACGTTGGTTTTCACGAGACTCACCGGCGCATGCGCAATGCTGAACTCATGCGTCATCCTCCCGGAGCTGCTTCCGTGTACAACAGTGAGCGCAAGCTACATTAAAGTGATTATTACGTTTTGAATATGGACATTTTTTCTTACAAAAACACATCGATTCGCTTCAGAAGGACTTTGTTCATCCCCCGGAGCCGTGTGAGACACTTTTTTTTTAATGGATGGGCGCTTTTTATTTCACTTCTTTTGGACTGATGCACGCAACACCCGCTGAGTGGCATTAAACAGCTTGAAAGATCAAAGACAATTTTTTATATAACTCCGACGAGATTCGTCTGAAAGAAGGAAGTCATATACACCTAGGATGACTTGAGGGTGAGTAATTTATCGGCTAATTTTCATTTTTGGGTGAACTAACCCTTTAAGTGACCTACAAAAAGAATGGTAAACGGCAGCTGAGGTGAAGTGCATGGCATGGACGGTTCGAAACAGGCTCCTGGGGCCAGAGCTGAAGTCCTGCAAAGTCCTTCTTCAATGAGAAGCAAAGAAGAGCCAGGCTGAGGTTTGCAAAAGATCATAAGGACTGGAGTAAGGTCATCTTCTCTGATGAGTCCAATTTTCAGCTTTGCCCAACACCTGGCCATCTAATGGTTAGACGGAGACCTGGAGAAGCCTACAAGCCACAGTGTCTCGCACCCACTGTGTAATTTGGTGGAGGATCGGTGATGATCTGGGGGTGTTTCAAGCAAGGCACATTCATCTTTGTGAAGGGCGCATGAATCAAGCCACGTACAAGGTTTTCCTGGAAGAAAACGTGCTTCCTTCTGCTCTGACAATATTCCCCAACTCTGAGGATTGTTTTTTCCAGCAGGACAACGCTCCATGCACCACAGTCAGGTCAAACAAGGCGTGGATGGAAGACCACCAGATCAAGACCCTGTCATGACCAGCCCGATCTCCAGACCTGAACCCCACTGAAAACCCCTGGGATGTGATCAAGAGGAAGATGGATGATCGCAAGCCATCAAACAAAGCTGAGCTGCTTGCATTTTTGTGCCAGAAGTGGCATAAAGTCACCCAACAGCAATGCGAAAGACTGACGCATGAAAGCTGTGATCAGGGTTATTCCACCACATATTGATTTCTGAACTCTTTAAGTTAAAACGTCAGTATTGTGTTGTTTAAAAATGAGTTTTTGTTGCCATTTTCCGCAAATAAACGCTCTAAATGACCATTTGTTTATTTGGAATTTGGGAGAAATGTTGTCAGTAGTTTATAGAAAACAAAAAATTTCCATTTTACTCAAACACATACCTATAAACATTAAAACCAGAGAAACTGCTTATTTTTTTCCCAGAGCTGTATTTTTAACAAATCAGAGAGTCAGGGAGAGGTGTTGGTTTGAGTTGTAGATCTTTTCAATAACTCCGCTGGCTTTGATTTCTATAATGTTATCCTCAGTTTGTCAGACATGTGCTAATTATGCCCTCGTTAATTAAGAGACTGAATTAATTTTTTAATCATTTGTCTCATAAGGACCATTTAAATGGAACTGCTAAAGGTAAAATAAATGATTAGTTACTGGATGTAAGATATACACTTTTTCTTATACATAACTACTGTACATTTCAACCATAATTTAGATTTGTTTAAAAAAAGGTCAAGTACATCAACTACCAAAATAGCAAATTATGGTTTTGTCATGTTATAATCTAAACTAAATACCAGAAGCTATTCAAAATGACATGTGTTTTCTATACATGAACACTCCATATTACTAAGTGTTACAAATCTAGCATCACAGCTGTCATATAGCAGGGTGATTATAACTAACTACAATGAAAACTATTAAAAAAACTTTAAAAAATTTTTTTTAAAAAGCTGAAATCAATTTAATATATTTTATTTCAGCTAGTTATTACACTCTAAAAAATGCTGGGTTAAATACAACCCAGTGCTGGGTAAAATAGGGACAAACCCAGCAATTGGGTTGTTTTGACCCAGTTAAACATTTAAACCTTTAACCCAACCGCTGGGTCAAAACAGCCCAATTGCTGGGTTTGTCCCTATTTTACCCAGCACTGGGTTGTATTTAACCCAGCGTTTTTTAGAGTGTAATAACTAGCTGAAATAAAATACATGCTTTAAGAAGGGGATAGGCCGAGGGCAAAGGTCAGCTCAAACATGTCAAGCGAGACCCCTTAATGCTTTAGTGACAATATAAGAAGGATAATTTATTTTAGTAAACATTTACTTTACTTCAAGAGCTTCATGAACATGTTTTATGGCTTTAGTTCAACTTTAATAATCCTGGATTGTGTCTCAGAGTCAGAAGCATGTAATTAAATCTCTTGATTCGTATGGATTACTCTCATGAACTTTTTGAAGCTTGAACGTTTTAGTGGAATGGACTTTCAGTGGAGGAATAGAAATCTCTTTTAGGTTTCATTACATGACATTCACTACATGACAGTGGTCTTTTATACGTTTTTATCAATATTACAGCTTTTACTTATATAAATGATGACAGAATTTTTTATTTTGGGGCGAACCATCCTTTTTAAATTCTTAAATTGTCTTCATATGTCTACTGTATGTCTTCAGATGTAATGGCTTCTTTACCACGGTCTCTGTCGCACTTGTCTTTCACTTGTTGGAGTTTGAGCAGGAAAATCCCTGGTCATGTGACGCGGACACATTCAATAAAGATTACAGTAATCCAGCTCAATCTCCTGAACAGGTGCTTAGGCCCAAACTCAGAGGTGTGGATTTAGATTTAGAGATTTAGTGCACAGCAAACAACATCTAGCCTCCCTTTCGCTAAAGGACAGTGTATAATAGTGCGTCAGTATTGACGCAATCCTATTAAATGTACTGAGATATCAAGTTAAAGACAGTACGGTTACACCTGTGAGCAGTGGAATATCATACTATCATCAGTGACCTACAGCTGTGCTCAAAACACTCATGGCTGTTATACATCTCCTCAATATACGGCATCAATTTGTGATTTATAATCCCATTATCAGTTTGTTCCTGGCAGATCAGGGCAAGGACTCAGTGTTCTGCCCATTAGTTATCGGCCAATTAGTGCTGGACACTATTCAAACATAAAGCAGAGCATCTCTGGCTCTGTTCAGATCAGACGAGTATCTTGTATCTTGTGTTCACTACAAATGAGATGGTACAGATTCATATGAATTAGCCAACAATTTGCCAAAATGTAAAGTAGTTACAAAATGCCATGTGGTTATGTTGGCTGTGTTTAGAACAGAATACTACAATATCTCAGTACTTACAGAATACGGCACAGTATACACTGTGTCAACACCTGACCCTGTTTAATGTAGCGAGAGGAATCAAGTTAGGCAGGATGGTCAAATAATACATCAAAAAGGAGATGGAAGTTTAAATTGAGTGCGTTGCATTATTGGATATTCCACACAGTAAGCTCTTTTGAAATCAGTTGATTTTGGCACATGTAGGTCAGGCTGATATGAAATGCATAACATTTGCATACTGTGCACAGTATACATACTAAATACTGCAGCAATAGTGTGCTGTTCCAACTTAATAATATGCATACCGTGTGCAAAGTGTGCATATTTTCTGCACATACAGAAAAGATTCATTAGATGTCCTATACTACATTTGTCAAAATGAGCAGTAAAAAAAAATAAAAATGTAAATGTGTGAAATATTGTATCCCACAATTCAATGAACTTGACGTTCTATTTCCAGTATAATGGATGAAACTGAAGTAGTATCAGCTACATTCATTATTTGACAGGATTGCCAATAAATAAGATATTTTTTTTAATATAAAACTGCATTAAAAATGCTAAATAAACTACTGGAATTAAGCAAAAAAGGTAACGTGACAACAATGCATACAGTCTAAAATGCTTATTGTGGAAAGCCTACATTTTTCTCCAATATTTAAAAAAAATAAATAAAGATATTTACTTGCATTGAATAAAGAATTTGAACACTAAAATTCTAAAGTGACATAAAAAAACAGATGGACCGTACATTATATTTATTTTGCATCGCTAACACACACAATAAAACATACAAAAGGATCATTCCTGTATCAATTCAATCAGTTCAAATCTCATAAATGCACTGTTTCGCGCTTAAACACATTTGACAATTTTGAAAAACATTCAAGAACAGATTGAGCAAAAACAAGTCGAACACACAAACGCCATCTAACCAGATAATTTAGCATCTTTGTATGCAAAACAACTGCAGAAATCATTTCACAACCAACCACAGAGATCAACCGGACCAAAAAGTGCTGTTACTGACTTCTATGCAAATTACGAAACTGGAGTGGGAATTTCCATGCAGGATCAGAGCAATAAATCACCGCAGGGTAGAAGATAATGAGATGGGTGGAGAGGAGACATTTTCTGGGTGGAACTTTCTTCTGTTAATAAGGGACTGAAATGGATGCATGAAGATGCTGGATGTAGATATGAAATAGTGTGATTACAGAGGGCCAGAGATGGCAAAAACACATGGATTCAAAGCTGTGTCAAGGCACAAAGTGTGAAGTTCAGTGCTGATTTTGGTCAAAGCACCTTAAAGCCTTGCTGGTTGCATATCAAGAGCCCTTCTTTCTTTTTTTTTTTAGTTTTGCTCTCAGAATTGAACCAAATAAGAAGGTTATAAATTGTAAAAGAGTGTTAAAATGGAATCGGGACTTCTATAAACGCTGGGAATTAAAAAAGATCTGCTAGTGTGAGAAAAAAAGATTTCGGAGCTCAAACACACAAGAGGTAGAAGAGATTCTCTCTCTGCTGAGATTAATATTCTTGTAGTAGAAACACTCTGATGATTATCAGTTCTCGGTCACAGTATTTGATGATCCATAACGGTGCAAATCCAGGCATTCAATTCACCAACACATCAAGAAAATATGTTATACTGTATAAAATGCGTACATTATGGCATGCTATGATTTGCATACACAATCTTTTTAGTGGATTTGATGGCCATTTGTACTTGCAAAAACCAAGTTTATTATCTCACATTATGAATACAGGCAACCTTATGTGAGTCACTTGACATTTGAGCAAAAACAGGCATGATACGCACTGAGAAGAAGTTCAAGCACAATGGAAGACTGAATTCTAGCAGCAATTATACTGTAAGTAAATAAATAAAACATCTACAATACATGATCTAGAACAGGTTTACATAAAGTGGGAGGGAAATGTTATGGAGCTGGTTATCGATTTACTTACTTATAGATACAGTATGTTCATATTGAGTTACACAATACATAATGCAATGAGTACACTGGGACATTGCGTTTTGTTTTGGTGATGCTGTTTCAAGCTCTTTGTGCTGGTTATACCCTGGATTACATTTCAGCAAAGAATAGGTAGCATTTCCAGCATACTCGGAATACATATTTGCAGTAAAAACAAAACCCTGTCTTCTGCAAGCACCCAGCGAGCGATTGCTCAACGAGAAATAAGACTTTTCTGAATTCAGAGGGGTGAAAGTCTATAAATTCATCAGCACAAGTTTAACATGATTTACTGTAAACCTCATAACGAAATGATATGCTTCTCCCCTTACTTAAAAAAAAAAACGTATAAAATTTCCAATGTTGATTAAATCAGGAAAACAAAATACTATGTAGTATATTATACAATAAATAATAATTCTCAATTATATTTACTATGGAGTCTGCTGTAAAACTAAATGCCAGCAAACTAAATTATGGCACAGCTTGTTTTCATTAAAGAAAAAAAGTCAAGCGTTTTAGATTGTGATATGGAACGAGTCGTGTATCCAGCTGTCTTTGGATGTCCCGTTTTTAGGAGATGTATCGTTTCCATCTGGCGTTTCGGCTGGCGTCATACCGGACTCGGTATAATATTCCTCATCTTCATCAAAATAACCGTTCTCCATCCCGTAGGGTCCATCCGCACTGGACACAGCGGAGAGGTCCTGGCAGCTGCCCTTGTACTCCTGGATGGACTCGTGAAGGGACCAGAGCTGACAGAGCAGAGACATGTCCTGCTGCCGCAAACCCACCTGCGCAAACAAACTCGAATGAGTGCTTATGGAAACATCAAAGGGACAACTCATTGCACATTAGAACAAAGTGACCCAAAACATTTACTCTGAAATCAATCTGTGGTATTTAGTCAAATAATGGATATTTTGTGTTTGCATTCCAAACCTTATGCTCTTTAGGGTTAGCTTTGTTCTGATATTGTAATGATTTGAACCTTTCCCAGTGGTGGTTCAAGTGTTACAGCAAAAGGTAATGCGCAAATATACTCAAAAATAGATTCAAACAGAACCTGTCGTTTTTAAATGTTTAAGCCGAGCATCACAGATAAGATAGGAATGTAGGAAACAAACATTTTTGTTCATCACATTCAAACTGAACATTTTTGGGCAACACGGTAGTAGTTCCGAATATATGAACCGAACACTCGAATCGAACCCGGACACTCGAATCGAATCGAACCCGGACACTCGAATCGAATCGAACCCGGACACTCGAATCGAATCGAACCCGGACACTCGAATCGAATCGAACCCGGACACTCGAATCGAATCGAACCCGGACACTCGAATCGAATCGAACCCGGACACTCGAATCGAATCGAACCCGGACACTCGAATCGAATCGAACCCGGACACTCGAATCGAATCGAACCCGGACACTCGAATCGAATCGAACCCGGACACTCGAATCGAATCGAACCCGGACACTCGAATCGAATCGAACCCGGACACTCGAATCGAATCGAACCCGGACACTCGAATCGAATCGAACCCGGACACTCGAATCGAATCGAACCCGGACACTCGAATCGAATCGAACCCGGACACTCGAATCGAATCGAACCCGGACACTCGAATCGAATCGAACCCGGACACTCGAATCGAATCGAACCCGGACACTCGAATCGAATCGAACCCGGACACTCGAATCGAATCGAACCCGGACACTCGAATCGAATCGAACCCGGACACTCGAATCGAATCGAACCCGGACACTCGAATCGAATCGAACCCGGACACTCGAATCGAATCGAACCCGGACACTCGAATCGAATCGAACCCGGACACTCGAATCGAATCGAACCCGGACACTCGAATCGAATCGAACCCGGACACTCGAATCGAATCGAACCCGGACACTCGAATCACCGAACACTCGAATCAATACCGAACACTCGAATCGAACCGGACACTCGAATTGAACCGAACACTCGAATCGAACCGGACACTCGAATTGAACCGAACACTCGAATCGAACCCGAACACTCGAATCGATACCGAACACTCGAATCGAACCGGACACTCGAATTGAACCGGACACTCGAATTGAACCGAACACTCGAATCGAACCCGAACACTCGAATCGATACCGAACACTCGAATCGTACCCGAACACTCGAATCGATACCGAACACTCGAATCGAACCCGAACACTCGAATCGATACCGAACACTCGAATCGAACCGGACACTCGAATTGAACCGAACACTCGAATCGAACCGGACACTCGAATAGAACCGGACACTCGAATCGAACATTTTTGCGGATCAGTCACATCCAAAACATCTGAAGTGATCATCTGTGGCCATCGCAGGTAAGTTTTGAATGTATGAACCGAACACTGGAATCGAACATAAGCAGCGAACATTTTTTTGTTCATGCGCACAGTCGGAACCATTTGAATCTAACACTGTTGAGAATCAGAAGTGTTTAAAAAAAAAAAAAAAAAAATTGAAGATCATTTTCACTTTCAAACCATTCAAAGCAAAGATTTTTAGCATCCGCTAGGTTACGAATGTACGAAACTGAACAATTTTGTTCATCACAGGTGAGACTGAAAAAATAATATAAAAATCGAATCGAACATTGTTCGACTGGTGGACTGAAGGAGCATTACAACATTAAAATTGATCACTTAGGATTACAGTTACGTTCAACAAAATCTGAGGTGAACATTTTTGTGCATCACAAACTAGCATTTTGGGCATCACTAGTACATTCAAAACACCTGAATCGGATAATGTCTGTACATTTGTTCATCACTTGCGCAATCGGAAGATTCTAATGGGAATCAAAGGGGTGTTCAAAAAAAATAAAATAATAATAATTGGGCATCACAAGAACAATCAGAACATACGAATCGAATATCGCTGGGAATCACGAGTATTAAAAATCTAATCAAATCAAACATTTTCCAGGATCACGGCCACGTTCAAATTATTCGAATCGATCAATCGGGGCATCACAGGCGCGTTCAATTCCTCCCGAACTTTCGAATCGATTCGCGTCCCGAAAAAGTTCTATTCGTGACTACGCTGTCCAGACATGTTGACTAGATAGGAAGGTCACTAGGCTTTAAAACACAGGCACTGTGGTAAATGAACGCCTGCAGTCGGGAGTAGGCTACAGCTGTTGCTTACTATTCTGTACCCTTACCATCTCTTTTCTGAGCAAAGCAAGGGCGGCATCCAGGTTTGCTGGTTTATTCGCCAGCAGACTGTCCGTGTTATTCCTTCCTCGGCTCAAGTCGTCCTGAATCATGGTCTTCTTCACATACATCCTCTCCATCTCTCTCCACGAGCCGCCGCTGGAGTTGAGCAGTCCGCTCAGGCTCTTGGGCAGCGGCGGCAGACCCTCAATACAGGCCAGCACACCGCCCGCTGCTCCACTCCCAGCCTTACCATTCATACTAACATTCACAAATAGCACGCGCTGGTCACAGACGAGTGTACAGTAACGGCATGTGATAATTTCCTTAAAGACCTTTACACCCTGACGTCGAAAAGCCCATGTAACAGCCACTGCTCCGAACAACACTGTAAGGCTGCAACTCGCACTTCCTGTCGCTTTAAAGAGACCCAGAGCAGACTGGGCGTGGCCGCCGGTGACGGACAGCGAGCTCATTGAATATTCATGAGAATTAGGTTCTGAATTAATCTTTTCTTCCGATCAAAGCGCAGCCAGAGCTATTGTCTGGTAACCTACATTTTCATCAGATGTATGAAATTATTTGGACTTGCTAATGACCTGTTTGAAAAAAAAAAATACAAAAACCTGTAATTTTAGGAAAAACAAAATAACAATAAAATAAAAGAAATAATCAAAGTAAATAAACACATATATAAATAACACGTAAATGAATAAATACATAAATAGAAGACCAAAGATTTTGCAATCTGTTCTCAAGTTTATTTATTATAATTTTTTTTATATATACATATTATTTGGATTTGCTACAGACCTCTTTGGAAAACAAACAAACAAAAAACTTTCATTTTAAGAAAAACACACACACACGTCTGGTCAGCTATCCTTGTGGGGACTCTCCATAGGCATAATGGTTTTTATTCTGTATAAACTGTATTTTCTATTGCCCTACACCAACCCTACCCCTAAACCTACCCCTCACAGGAAACTTTCTGCAGTTTTACTTTCTCAAAAAAACATTCTGTATGATTTATAAGCTTTTGTACCCATGGGGACCACAATTTAGGCCCCCACGTGACACGAGTCCCCATGAGTCTGTGTGTAGTCAGGTTTAAGTCCCCACCAGGATATATAAACCTGCGCACACACACACACAAAATATTTAAATCAAAATTTAATCTGATCAAAGCACAGACCAAGCTTTTGTCTGGTAACCTACATTTTCATCACATGTATAATATTTGGATTTGCTACTGACCGGTTAAAAACAAACCAAAACAAAAAGTAAAATAACGCATAAATAAATGTCAAAATAAAAACCCAAAGATTTTGTAATCTGTACTCAAATCTGTACTTGGTTTTGGTACTGACCAGTTAAGAAAAATATATACATAATTTGAAGAAAAACAAAATTATAATAAAATAAAAAAAAATAAATACATAACATAAAAGATGAATGAATGTAGTTTAAATAAATAAATAATACAGATTTTGCAATCTGGTAAAAATATGTGTATATATATATTTGTATATAAACATGTACTTAAAATAAATTCACTTTAAAAAACATATACATACTTTTATAAATACAAATGTGTTGCATCTCTGATGTTATATTGTAATTTAGCATTGGTATTTTGATTACCGGGTTAAATCCAGATCACAGTCCTCTAATGTCAGCTTGAGAGCACACTGGCAGGAAATGGCCAGATGAACGGACTCAGGGTGAGGTCAGGGCCGGAATCCCGACACGGAACAAAGGTGTCAGCAGCGGGCAGATGGTGAGCACGAGCAGCCTCCGACACAACACACACCCAGCTGCAGCTGGACACAAAGCACTGACACGAGGCCATTACAAAGACAGCTGCATGTGCACACACAAAGACAAAGCTGCTAAACTTCACGGCCTCCTTTACCAACCAATGAACTAACATACACACAATGAACACAAAAAATAAAATCCACAATATGGTTGAAACTGTTATCGGTGTTGGAGACTCTTGAGAACAGTGCAGTAGGATAAAGATCTGACCATGAGGACATTGTGTCATGTTAAAAAAAACAAAACAATACAATGTAAGACCCGAACAATTCACTTTTTACTGGCTCTTATGTCATTTTTCTGATCTGTACTGTATCAACACAAAACGCGCATTTCGATGAATATGACACGCCTATGATATTCTGCTTGGGTACATTTGGCTAAGATCCATTTACAGTATGTTTTCATGTCGTCATCATATGTATAATACAACGGGTCAAATATTAAATACAACTTTTCAGTTTTCAGTCACCCTCCAGGAAGTGACACTTTTTGGAGAAAAATAACAGTAGAGACAGCCGCGTGCGATTTTTTTTTGTGTGGTAGCTATTAGTTGGTTTGTGTCACTCGAAAACATTCAATCCTGTTTGATATAACGACCCAAATCAGTCGGTGCTTAATCTTTTAAAACGTCAGCTCTTATTTCAATCCTGCTAAATTGTTAACACAATCAAATGAAATTTAGCTTGACCTCAACGTTCACACAGAATGCGTTTTTATTCCACTGTGCTGCTTTTCCATTGTTTTTCTATGTCAACGCATGCTAGATGGACGTGTTTGTCTCTCAAGTCTTTCGCAGCATCTTGCGCAGTTAATAAAAACGCAGTGCTCAAGGTAAAAGAAGTTCAATGTATATTTTGCGTTTTTTTCAGTTTACTACCCCTGCACTTCGCTTTTCTATTACCCTTTTTGCAGCATCTCAAGCATGACACGGCATTTTAAAAATACGGTACTCAAGTTCAAATTAATTCAACTTCGTCAAGAGACAAATGATTCGAAGTGAACATTTTTGGGCATTACAGCCTACTTGCGAACATTCGATTCAAACATTTTGGGCATCATAGGCATGTTCAAATCTTTCGATATGAACATTAAGTTCCTTCCAAACTTTCGAATAGATTCGACCAATTTTTTTTTTCCCGACACATTTCGTGTGAACACAATCCTGAGTCTACTTTATTCTGAAACGATACTTCCTTAAAATTACAAACAAGCATATTCATTTTAAAAATGTTACAGAGTTAAAAAGGTATCAGAATTATCCACATGTAAAACAGTGTTTCACAAAGACAAAGGGCTACCGAAATACTTAATAGAACATTTATTTCAACAAAGTTAACTACAACACTTTACAGGCAACATGGCAAAAAAATTTATCAGGCACAATTTTGAGGTTTTAAAACATGATAGAAAATCCACTTAAAACATACAAACATTTATAACCACTTAATAAAATTCTCACTTTTATCTTAAATAATTTTGCCCTAAATTGGCCAACAATAAATTGTGCAATTGTTTCGCTCCCAACAGAGAATGATGCATTAACAGCACGGTTTGCCTCGAGAACTGGTTAAAACGGCATGCATACATTACGAATGACATCACAGACGCCTGCAGCACCTTAAACACTAAACAAATCAATGCGTCCTGCCTCTTTTTACGAAGGTAAATCAATGTTACGCTCACGGGTCTATAAGTGAACCATGCCAAAAGCAACATCTGCGTGTTCTACAGGTAACCTGAGCAGCGTGAACTCGTCATCAGGCATTGTTTCCTTCTAAGGTGGGTCGCTGGATCGAACACAACAATACTCGTGACTTAACTATATATCATCACATCAGGAGGTTTTAACCTGCACACCCAATATTCACTTCTGGGTGGGGTTAGTTTTTGAACGTGCGCATTCCTCTAGGGCACAAAGTAGATGTGAAATTATTATGCAGAAGGTGGCACAAGCTCCACCCCCCAATCATGGCCAACCTGACAGAGCTGTTATTGATGACACCGAGATGTAAGCAACCTTGCAAAACCTGATCCGGCAGAAAGCGAAGCGCATTGTTAAAACGGCATGCATACATTACGAATGACATCACAGACGCCTGCAGCACCTCAAACACTAAACAAATCAATGCGTCCTGCCTCTTTTTACGAAGGTAAATCAATGTTACACTCACGGGTCTATAAGTGAACCATGCCAAAAGCAACATCTGCGTGTTCTACAGGTAACCTGAGCAGCGTGAACTCGTCATCAGGCATTGTTTCCTTCTAAGGTGGGTCGCTGGATCGAACACAACAATACTCGTGACTTAACTATATATCATCACATCAGGAGGTTTTAACCTGCACACCCAATATTCACTTCTGGGTGGGGTTAGTTTTTGAACGTGCGCATTCCTCTAGGGCACAAAGTAGATGTGAAATTATTATGCAGAAGGTGGCACAAGCTCCACCCCCCAATCATGGCCAACCTGACAGAGCTGTTATTGATGACACCGAGATGTAAGCAACCTTGCAAAACCTGATCCGGCAGAAAGCGAAGCGCATCTAAATCCCACAGTGGACAGCCAAACGCATGCGAAATTCAGTACTGCTGATTCGACATGAACCGCGGACATCAAGGACAGTGAGTGACGCCTCTTTAAACCACTCACTCAGTTTCATCTAAGCTGTCAATCGCGCCCAACAGTCTTCCCATGATGCAAATGCTCTTGTTACAAAACCGAGGTAGAGTAAGTCAATAACTGCACAAAAGTACAAAAGGAAATGGGGCACACTTTTTAGGGTATTGTGCTACCAATGACTTATACATTTATTTTAACTATTGCTTATAGCTATTGCATTGGAATTAAAATATCTCACCACTATGACATAAAACATTTTTTTTATCTTTCTATTCGAAGCTATACCGGAGATATGAATATCATAGTAAACACCTCTCCTAGCTTTACTAAAGCCCTATGGCCTGTACTTCCTTTCAGTGACTATGACAGACAGGAATCCAGATGCTCATTAATTGTGAATTCAGGAACTTTGATGTGGCACACGGGGCAGTGGACGGTGATCTGGATCGGAGGATCGTTTGCTTGCTGATCCCTGACTGCAGGCAGAACCGTGTCTTCCACCTCCTCTCTCTGCTGCACTGTGGACGTGGCGGACTTGTCATTTGTCCGCTGGAAGTAATCAAAGATATGATCAGATTTATGCTCTTCCCACGATCTCTTCTTGGCTCCTGAAGGCATCGTCCCTGACGTCCGGGGGCTGCCAAAGCTTCTAGGGCTTGGAAAGTTGGATTCAGGCTTTTCGGAGTCTCCAAAGTGCTTCGAACTGGACGCTGAAGTAGTTGTTGAAGTACGTGAACTTTGGGGACTGCCAGTGTTTCGGAATCCTGAGCTCGTAGCATCTGATCCTAGTTTTTGGTTACTTCCTAAAAGCTTAGAAAAGTAACCCGGTGTGCCAGTTGCAGACTTTTGGGGGCTTCCCAAATCTTGGAATTTCGAACTTTGAGCACTGCTTCCAAAATATTTGGAGAGATGCGACTCTATTGAGGTAGGCTTTGGCACTGTGGCACTGTATGAATGATGGTTATTGATCAGGCTAGTTTGCCCGTCTAAGGCACAAGACGAAGATGGTCCATTGCATTTAGCAGGGTTTGCTGTTGAGGCATCAGTGGCAGGCTTGGAGGAACCAGCCGCACTGGCTGCTCTCTCTGGAGATTTGAGGACTATGGGCTGGAAGAGATCTCGTACCGACCTCTGCTTGCCTCTTAAGTCATTGACTTTGGCAATTCTCACAGGTGAGCCATTGACGTTGATGAAGGCATTAGTGTTACTAACAGACTTTCTGCGGGGAACATTCGATACACCTGAGCTGACTCTTTTGAACAAGCTTGCCTCGATGGGCTGTAGTCTTGGAAGAAGCGGTGAGTCAGGAGGAGAGGCGAGAGGTTTGGGTTGAGCTTTAGGAGGACTCTGACTCAGCTTGTCCGTGTTAGTCTGTGTGTTCCCTCCAAGAATAAACCCTCTCCCACTGAATGGAATGACATTTCTGATGTCTTGTGAGCCAGAGCCTGCAACACAATACATATAGTTCAGTCATATAAAGCTGAAGTTTGATTGTCCAGGGCTATCAAAACATTGCTCTTTGTTTGTTTGAGCAACTTGATATTGCAACACTGGCTCAACCAATGGAATTAGTTTGGGGTGGGACTATCTGTTTGTTTGACCAATGGCAGACAAGATTTGTGTTCATGAAACCTTTGTACAACCCATAATTACTACTTGTAAACTCAGGAATTTCCGAGAGCTGCCACCTGCAATACCTGACCTCTGCAACAACATATGGAAAAACTTAAAATGGCAGCGGCTTCAAAAGTAAAATGTATTTCATCCACTGATCAACAATGGGACAATACAAGTTTATTAAGCATAACGTCTGTTATTGTTATGTTGCAGTTGTCTACTGATTACAGAAATTGCACCAATTAATTTTTGCATTATCATTGTTGCCACAGAGCACCATAATACAGCACCGAACAGAATGTCGGTGTCTTATAGTAATTATAGAAAATATAACATGTTTTGAATGCAACATTATTTTTACCTATTTTGAACACTATTTGAAAAATCAATTCAGTATTCAGTATATATACTTCACCTTCAAAAATGTAAAATAAATGTCCAGACCTTTTTTGATTTATTTTTTATATTTAGCATTTGCTCTTAAAGATGGTCCATTTATACACTGTTTAACTCTTTCCCCACCATTGACAGAATTTGCCATCATTTATGAGACAACGCTTCACTACCATTGACGAATTTCTGAATTTTCTGGCTTTCCGTGTTTTCACTGTTATACGGTAGGTGGCGCTATTAGAAATCTTCTGAAAGTGTATTAAAGGGTTAGTTCACCCAAAAATTAAAATTCTGTAAACTCACCCTCATGTCGTTCTAAACCTGTAAGACCTCCGTTCATCTTCGGAGTGAAGGGGTTCAACCGTAATATTACGAAGCTACGAGAATACTTTTGGTGCGCAAAGAAAACAAAAATAACGACTTTACTCAACGATTCGTCTCCTCCGCGTCACCCTGGTGCCATTTTGGAGAATATCCACTGAACGTAAACATCGTATGCTATTCTGTGTCACACGGATACGTTTTCTACGTTGTTTATGCTTTGATTTGAACGAAAACAACGTAAACCAGTGACACAGCTGACACAGAATAGCATACGCTGTTTACGTTCAGTGGATATTCTCCAAAATGGCACCAGGGTGACGCGGAGGAGACGAATTGTTCAATAAAGTCGTTATTTTTGTTTTCTTTGCGCACAAAAAGTATTCTCGTAGCTTCGTAATATTACGGTTGAACCCCTGATGTCACATGGATTATTTTACCGATCTCCTTGCTACGTCTCTGGACCTTGATCGTGGTAATTACATTGCTGTCTATGGGAGGGTCAAAGAGCTCTCAGAATTCATCAAAAATATCTTAATTTGTGTTCCGAAGATGAACGGAGGTCTTACGGGTTTGAAACGACATGAGGGTGAGTAATTAATGACAGAATTTTCATTTTTGGGTGAACTAACCTTTTAAATCTCTAGATCAAAACACGGCGAAGAGGCAGAAACAAGCGATCGTGTATGCAAGCAGATACATATGTAAAATAACGCGATCATCAAGCATTAAACAGCACATGAATCAAAACCGCCTAATGTTACTGAATGAAATGTCGACCCAGGAAGTGGTATAGAACAGTGCAAGCATTGGATGTGTTGATGGACTCGATCTACTCCATCTATGTTTTGATCATCGATCTGAATCTGATCCAGATGAAGTCTTTGACAAAAAGGCGATTTTCTCAGCTTTTTGTTCAAAATGTTGCTCTTTTTTGTTTAAAAGCAGAGGCTCTGTTCTTTCTTTTGACATATTGCATGTTCAGATCATCATGCAACAAAATATTCCGAGGCCATTAAAATTTTGTGAAAATGATAAAAAATGCTGGCAGTGGCTGGTAACATTTTTAAAAACACTGGTGGGAAAAGAGATAATAACGTGGGGATGTTGACTGGATCACCTGTTGTGCTGCTTGGAGGCTTCGTATTCTTGGAGGTCTTATCGGAAGGATTCTTGTCTTTCTTTTTATCACTTTTGCCTGTTTTCCCATAATTCTCTGGCTCTTTGATTTTGGTGTATGTTCCACCGCAGGTCCTTTGGTGCTCAGACCACCAGGGGTCTCTTGCCGAGGGAGGCCTGTTCATCGCACGCTTTACGTATCCAAAGAATGGCCTGTGATTCTGACAGGGTCCGTTACAGCGCCACCAGTGCTGCCTGTACACGTCCACCTCATCGTGGAAGGAGTGATATATCTGTGAGAAGAAGATAGGTGTTTCCAGGTCCAAACATCTACTCCGTTTCAACTGAGAATACTATCTCGACAGCTGTTAATGAGTACCATTTATTTGTTACTTTTGGGATATGATATAGCATTTGTATCCTGGAAACGGTGACGTCCAACTGAATATTGTTTAATATTGAACATCAGAAATGCATCTTACAGTGATGTTAGTGCCGCTTGCTTGGTTGATTCTGTTCATGTGTTTGCAGAACTCTGGACCATGGCCATCTCGATCTCTGTTGTTTTGAGTCACAAAGAGAAGAGCATGGATCATCTCATGAAGAAGAGTCTGTGGAAAGAGACAGTAACAGTAACCGATCAAGAAATACATTTAGGGCACATTATCTGATAGAAATTGAAAAACACAAAAGTAAATGAGAATTTGAATTTTCCTCACATAAAGCAGAAAGGAAAAAGATGCTTAAGAGTTAATACATTTTTATGATAGATTACAAAAACAAACCTTTTTTATTTAGAATAAGGTGTAGTGTTGAATTGTGCACAATAAGACCAAAACATGTATTAACCCTGTAAAGTCTGACATATGTACAAACAATATCCTGAAAAATCACCCTTTTTTTAATGAAACAGCCCAAACTGGGCAAAAATATGCAATTTAGTGCAGAAGATGAAAATCCAATAGCTTGTAATGTAATCAATGAGATTTATTATAACAGTATAACAGACTACTACGTACATAAAATGCATATACTGTAAATATCATCTGACACTCTATATCTTCCAATATGTCTTAGTAAAATTGTATTTAAATTCTTAGTTTTATAATCAATGCTTTGTAGTTTTTATTGTGTGTGTGGGGGGGAGTGTCAATTTATGGTTTTTCACTTTATATTATACAATGACTTTTTCTTTTTCACTTCCAAAAACCGTAATTTTAACAGTATTTTACTGTAAAATTACATTCAATGTAATTACAGTTATTCACCGTATATAGTATGGAAACTTACTGTTAACCAATTAACAGGTTTTTACTGTAGCATTTTTACAGTCTTTTACTGTTAAAATCACAATCATTTTTTACAGTGTATGGTTAAGGAATTAAATGGGGATGGTTTTGATTCTATTTTGACTTCAAAAGTGAAAAATGTAATGTTTAACCAACCTGTACAAGATCTTTGCGCGGTCTGAGCTTCAGGAGCGGTTCACTGAGTCGAACTGAACACAAGCCTCCTCTTCCCTCATAAGAGCAAACACCAGCACATCTGAGGGAGTCAAACATTACACCATTAGGTCAAAGTCTTTTCTCTCTCTCTCTCTCTCTCTCTCTCTCTCTCTCTCTCTCAAACATTACACCATTAGGTCCAAGTAGGGATGTAACGATTACCGGTTTAACGATAAATCATGATACAATTCCCCACGGTTGGTATTACCGTTTCATCTTTTAATTATCATTAAAACCGTATTAGATTACCGCGATTTGAACAACTCGCGATAAATAAATACTGTCCAGCATAAAGCACAGTTTTCAGTAACAGTCTCACGTGCGCACAGCACGCAGAGTAGTTTCGTTTTGAGTGAAAACGGCGGACAAGCTGGGAGGTTTTAAAAGAGTGCTAAGGGAATTATATGAATATATGAATTAATTAATTATATGAATGTACTTCTGATGGTACCGACGATTCGATGGCATTTTGTTTTCATCTTCGCTCCATGTAATACCTAAAGGAAGTGTCCTTAATCGCAATACTGCTTTGTCCATGGAAGTTACGGGAAACAGCTCTAATTCTGCTTTTCCATAAGCGCCACCTGCTGTCAGCGAGTGGATTTACAGAGACTTATATTTACATTCAGCCTGTGTGCGGTTTCTGTCTGGCCAAAAACGGATTGAATTTGCATGCTCTGCTGTAAAGTTTAACCGGTTGATGAAAAACAAGCTTATGTGGATTCTACACATTTAAACAATTCAGGTAAGTATCTAGAATTATTTATGGAGCAGATAAAATACATATAATCATTTATAAATCAGTTATCATTTTGACTTATAGCTTTTCTTTATTTAAAGGCTCACATGTGAGGCTTACCTTTTTATGAAACTTTTTCAAAGCTTTATTTGGTCCAAGTCTTCTGTCTCTCTCTCAAACATTACACCATTAGGTCCAAGTCTTCTGTCTCTCTCTCTCGCTCTCTCTCGCTCTCTCTCTCTCTCTCTCGCTCGTCGTCATCCTTAATAAATAAAACATTTATTCATGCTTGGGTGTCAGCGGTGAATCCAGTGGAGAGAAAACCCCCACCGCTAACTGCAAACTGGCATCTTAGATCTGCCTCCATTTTGTTGGCAACGCCCCACCTTCCAACGATCCAATCAATTCACAAAAGGACGAAATCAAGTCCCGCCCTCTCATTTCAAATGCCATTTCACTTGGATATACGTCACAGTAGAGAAGAAAAGACATTCACAACTTCTGTTTCATGCCGACTTTAAAGAGCCAGGCCCGACTGTGTTTTCTCAAAAAGAAACCTATTTCCTCCAGAGAGCTATGAAGGAACAATAGTTGGCCAACCGTAAAGCCGCACAGTGTTGGGAATGCTGGGAAATGTATTTCTACGCCTAGTTGTTTATAATGTTACGTTATAGGCACGCACAGCGCAACACTGGGGACTTGTGGATGTTACAATATGCAAACAGATAAAAATAGCGCTACTAAAATAACAGCCAAATGTAACAGGCAAAATGTTGACCAATCAAAGCAGTTGCACGGAGTTGCTAGACCCACAAACAACAACAACAACAGATCGTACAATTATTTGTTGTTTGTCATTTTATTCGTCATTTATTAATTATTTGTCATATGATGATTAATTATTCATTCATTATCGGAACGAATATCGGATACTAACCAACATGGTGAAAAATATCGCCTTTGAGTAATTCATACATTTTACTCTGAACACTTCCTAACAACAAGGTGGCGCTTCATTTGGTCTTGCTGCGATTTTACTCAAATGGGTATAATGACATATTTCAAAATATGTAAAAATAAAATAAAGAAAATGTACTTTTATTCCATTTATAACATGTGGTACAGTTCTACTACTGTACAATTATACATTTTATATTTGTAAGCTATGTTTGCAATAAAGTGTATGAATTAAAATATAAATATATATATATATATATATATATATATATACGTTTGATATTTACTGGCCCTGTGTTTTTTGTTTTTTTTTTGTAATCAAGCTTTTTATTTATTTACTTATTATGAATATTAACATGGACATCAACACCAAAAGACATTAAATTATCCAAACATATTATAAGTGAGTGAATCTTTGTTGTTATGTTCAGTATTTTGAAACGGTCGCTCGTCACGTGATGTGTCGAGCGCTTCCGGTTGAGGAAGCGATCAGCTCTGAAGCTCAACAGCAGCGACAGCCTGATTTTCACACACTTATCCTCATATATTCATACTTTTTCTTTCGCCGTAACATCCAAAAACATGGCATGTGGTACTACTGTACAATTATACATTTTATATTTGTAAGCTATGTTTGCAATAAAGTGTATGAATTAAAATATAAATATATATATATATATATATATATATACGTTTGATAGTTACTGGCCCTATGTTTTTTGTTTTTTTTTTGTAATCAAGCTTTTTATTTATTTACTTATTATGAATATTAACATGGACATCAACACCAAAAGACATTAAATTATCCAAACATATTATAAGTGAGTGAATCTTTGTTGTTATGTTCAGTATTTTGAAACGGTCGCTCGTCACGTGATGTGTCGAGCGCTTCCGGTTGAGGAAGCGATCAGCTCTGAAGCTCAACAGCAGCGACAGCCTGATTTTCACACACTTATCCTCATATATTCATACTTTTTCTTTCGCCGTAACATCCAAAAACATGGCAGACACTGGAAACCGTTTGCGCAAGTTGCTGGAATCCCCTAATTTCGACCCTCAGTCCTACGTGAAGCAGCTCTCGCAGCAGTCGGACGGGGACCGCGAGCTACAAGAACACCGCCAGAAAATACAAACACTCGCCGACGAAACCGCGCAGAACCTGAAGAAAAATGTTTATAAAAACTACAGGCAGTTTATTGAGACAGCCAAGGAGATTTCTTACTTGGAAAGTGAGATGTATCAGCTGAGTCACTTTCTCACCGAGCAGAAGAGCATAATGGAGAGCATTACACAGTCTCTCCTGTCCACAGATAAAGACGAAGCAGCCAAAGAGATGCTGGCAGCCTTCCCAAAGGAAACCGAAGAGGTTAAACAAAGAACCCTGACCACACTTTTGGAAAAAGTGGAGGGCTGCAAGAACATCATGGAAACCCCCGGCAGATATCTGGTCTATAATGGGGATCTTTTGGAGTATGACGCAGACAACATGTCACAGATCCAAAAGGTTCACGCGTTTCTGATGAACGATTGCCTGCTCATCGCAACCTGGCTGGCGAACAGACATGGAGCCGTGAAATACAAATACAATGCGCTGTATGATCTAGAAAGCTTTGCGGTTGTGAATGTAAAAGACAACCCTCCGATGAAAGACATGTTCAAAATCCTCATGTTCCCCGACAGCCGCATCTTCAAAGCCGAGAACAGCAAGATCAAGAAAGAGTGGCTGGAGATTCTGGAGGAAACGAAGAAAAACAAAGTGGCGAAAGACAAACACAAAAAAGAAGAGGAGGTGCCAACGTCGCCGGTCAGGCAGGACGTCTCCACAAACCCGTTTGATGAGGACGGACCTCTGGGTTCAGAGGAACTGGTGGATCTGAGTCCCGAATGGATCCAGGAGCTTCCAGAAGACCTTGACGTGTGCATCGCTCAGAGAGACTTTGAGGGTGCTGTTGATCTTCTGGATAAGCTAAACGAATATCTGAAGGAGCAACCAGTGAGCCCACGCGTGAAGGAGCTCAGAGGGAAGGTGGATGAGCGTGTTCGACAGCTGACGGAGGTCCTGGTGTTCGAACTCTCGCCTGATCGCTCGCTCCGTGGAGGACCTAAAGCCACGCGGCGAGCCGTCTCTCAACTCATTCGCCTGGGCCAGTCCACGAAGGCCTGTGAGCTGTTTTTGAAAAACAGAGCGGCGGCCGTCCAAACCGCCATCCGGCAGCTTCGGATCGAGGGCGCCACGCTGCTTTACATCCAAAAGCTCTGCAACATCTTCTTCACGAGCCTGCTTGAAACCGCCAGGGAGTTTGAGACTGATTTCGCAGGCAACACTGGCTGCTACTCCGCCTTTGTGGTCTGGTCTCGCTCGGTGATGAAGATGTTCGTAGATGCCTTCAGCAAGCAGGTGTTTGACAGCAAAGAAAGCTTGTCCACCGCTGCAGAGTGCGTGAAGTTCGCCAGTGAGCACTGCAGGCAGCTGAGCGAGATTGGCTTGGATCTGACCTTCATTTTACGATCTTTACTCGTGAAAGACATCAGGGCGGCTCTCCAAAGCCAGAAAGACATCATCATAGAAGCAACAAAGCATCGTAACTCTGAGGAGATGTGGCGTAGGATGAACCTGATGACTCCTGAAGCTCTGGCCAAGCTCAAGGACGAAATGCGAAGCTGCGGGATCGGCAGTTTCGACCAGTATACGGGAGAAGACTGCTGGGTCAACCTGAGCTACACCATTGTGGCCTTCACCAAGCAGATGATGGCCTTCCTGGAGGAAGGGCTGAAGCTGTACTTCCCAGAGCTGCACATGGTGTTTCTGGAGAGCCTGCGGGAGATCATCCTGGTGGCGGCGCAGCATGTGGACTACAACCTGCGCTGCGAGCAGGAGGCCGAGAAAAAGGCCTTTATTTTGCAGAACGCATCGTTCCTGCATGAGACGGTGCTTCCTGTTGTGGAGAAGAGGTTTGAGGAGGGAGTCGGGAAACCTGCCAAACAGCTCCAGGATCTGAGGAAGAGCTCTCGGTCTGTCAGGGTCAACCCCGAGAGCACCATGTCCGTCGTCTAAGAGAGATGTGAATGGACGTGAATGAATGAGACTGCTAATGCACTTTAAGTCTCCAAATCTCAATACATTTCACTACATTGCGCTCATATGACTAATTTGTGGTGTTGTGATGCACTCCGAAACCACTCACACTCTTTAAAGAAATAGTTCACGGAAAATAGAAATTTTTTTACTCATTCATGTCAAACCTTTATGTTGTTGTACATAGAATGCAAAAGGAGAATTCATTTTTTTTTTTGTCAAAATTTTAAAATGGGTGTCAAGCTTGGCTAAAAAGCACAATTGAAAAATGAGTCTTCGAATGACCGCATATGGTTTTGAAACAGAATGGGGGTGAATAAATGGCAGAATTTTCAATGTTATGTTTGTGTCCTTTAAGTCCAACTATGGAAGCCTGTTTCTGCCACAGAATAAAACAAAAAAGGTAACTGCGGCTTTTTATCTCACAATTCTGACTTGCAATTCTGAGTTTATATCTCGCAATTCAGACTTTTCAGTCGGAGACAAGATTCAGAGGAGATATAAACAGAATTAACTGATGTAAGATGTAAAGTGAAAAGATTTAAATGTAAAAAAAGTTTTGTGACTAGCTGACTTTTTATCTCAATTGTTTTTCTCGCAATTGTGAGTTTATATATTACAATTCTAACTTCTCATAATTGCTTATAAACTTATAATTGAAAGAGTTTATATCTCGAAATATGGACTCTTTCTCAGAAATGTGATGAAGAAAGTCAGAATTGTGTGTTTAAAAAAAAAAAAAGGCAATTACCTTTTATTTTTGTTCCGTGGCTCTATATCAAGCCAAACGGCAACTGTGTAAGACTTAAGTTTAATAATATTAATTGTGCTTTTTAGAGAGATCAGCTGTTGGTTCTTTAGTCATTTATAATGAACTATATAGAAATTAAAATAGTCCTAATTAAAATGTAAAGAATTACATTTAATTTGTCATTTCAATCAAACAAAAAAGACGGATGTAAAGATGAAAACACTTTTGTTTATACTGCTTTCTTTTGAGTGTATTGTTGTACACAAACTAGTAAAAACCCTGTTTATAAAAAAATAAAAAAGCAATGTGCTTTTTTATACTCACAAACATGCTCTATTCTTTTGATGCTGTGCTCCAGATGTCAAAGCTTTTAAATGTGGTGCCCCCTGGTGTACAGAGAATTGTTCAATAAAAGTAAGGCTCTGTTAAAAATCCCAAAGCCAGAGTCTTGACAATAACCCAGAGTTATTAAAAATATTCCCCTTTCATCTGTTCCCCCCCCCCCTCTTTGATACTGCTGTTGCTGTTCTCTGCCAGACTTCATATCCTGACTATCTGGATATGGACAAGATGAGCATGTACAGCGAGACGGACAGCGGGTACGGCTCATACACGCCGTGCCTGAAGTCTCCCAACGGAGTGCGCGTGTTCCCGCCGGCGCTGGTGCACCGCCACTGCTCCATCACCTGCCCGCTGTGCCACCGCAGCGTGTCCCTGGACGAGCGGGGGCTCCGCGGCTTCCAGCGCAACCGGCTGCTGGAGGCGATCGTGTCCCGCTACCAGCAGAGCCGCGCCGCCTCCGTCAAATGCCAGCTGTGCGACCGCAATCCGGTGGACGCCACGGTGATGTGCGAGCAGTGCGATGTGTTCTACTGCGCTCCGTGCCAGCAGCGCTGCCACCCCTCCCGCGGACCGCTGGCCAAGCACCGGCTGCTGCCGCCGACTCAAGCGCAGGCGGGGAGCGCGCAGCCGGCCGGCGCCTCCGCGCGCAAACAGGCAACTTGCCTGGATCACGAAGCCGAGAACTACAGCATGTACTGCGTCAGCTGCAAGACCCCCGTATGCTACCAGTGTCTGGAGGAGGGCAAACACGGCAAACATGATGTGAAGCCCCTGGCCGCGATGTGGAAACAGCACAAGGTAATGAACGCGTTGTGGCACTGCGGCTGTACCATGCTATCATCACATGGTAAAACCATGGTACTTTCTACAATTTATGATACATCATGGTATGTTACTTCAAGAATACCATGCTCCTACAATGGCACTTGTCTTAAATAAATACATACATACATAAATAAATAAATAAAATATACAACTTCCAAATAGTACCATATGCACACTTAGAAGAATATTTAATATGGAACTTTTAAGGATTATATCAGTGGCATTTGGAAGCCCTGTTGGGGTTCCATGTAGAATTGATTGATTTATTGTTTGTTTTTCTTTTGAGAATTTAATCAAAAGAACCCCAATCGTTCCAAAACGTTTATATAGCAATGCAAATAGAAGAACCAGTTTCCCCAAAAACCTTTCTATGAACATTTCTTAAAAGAACCATTTCCCCCCTAAGAATATGAAGAGCATTTGAAGATTCTGAAGGTTCCATAGAAGTTGACGTTTCTTCATGGAACTATTGATTCCAAAACCTTTAGTTTTAATAGTGTAAGGGAAAAGATTGCGTATTGAATCCTATTGGGATTCCAAACATGAGATCATATCATTTTATGGATTACATTCTTATTATCAAGTTTCATGTATGTGTCAATGAAACATATAGTCTGTTTTATCACTAAAATAAATTAAAATAACTGAAACAGTCACAGTCATCAACAAAACATTTAGTTTGATCCTAAATAACTCTTTTTTTGGGGTCCAAAAACGTTTTTGGCATAATTTTTTTTTCAATTCTGTTTAAGTTCCACAAAGTTTAACATGATGGTGAGTAAATAATGAGTTTTATTTTTCTTCAGTGAATTTTCAGTGTGGTGTTATTTGGATTACCTTGAAATAGCATGCACAAAAAAATATGCATTCAAATGGTACCCAAGTACTATTGTATTTCTTGATACCATTACTAAACCAGAGTACTGCCACAATACTTTTAGGGTTTGACAAAACACTGATCTTACATTCAGTGTAGTTCAGAATTTATTGTATTAGAAGAGCAGTGATTTTCTGCTAATAAATGCGTGTTCTTGTTAAAGTGCTGCAGGAGATGGTTCACGTTTTTGGTTTTGACTTCTTAAGACAAAAACAGTTCACACTTAAGCTGTTTTAACACACACACACACACACACACACACACACACACACACACACACACGCACATGCACACACACACACCTGGGCCTCTGTTTTCTTCATGCTCTTTAATGGATTCAGATGGAGCTGACAGACCAGATAATTGTACACGTATTGCATGAAGCTGTCAATTAAATTAGAACACACCTTTAGTCTGAATCTCTTTAATCTCACGTTTGTGTGCATTTGGGTCTTTATCATTAAGTGATTGCAGTGCACTAGTCATTTATGAACCAAAAATGGGCTGTGAATTATGAAGATGGGACATATACAGTATGTTGATTTTAGAAATTAAATTAGAACACACCTTTAGTCTGAATTTAGCCTGAATCTCTTTAATCTCACGTTTGGGTCTTTATCATTAAGTGATTGCAGTGCACTAGTCATTTATGAACCAAAAATGGGCTGTGAATTATGAAGATGGGACATATACAGTATGTTGATTTTAGTGAATAAAACATTAGGTTGGAGATTTACTGATGTCTAATGATCCCATCCATTATGATAGGCCAGACGTGAGGGATTTCATTAACTATAAGTTGTATTGCTACATTACATATAATAATAACCTGCTGTGCTGGGACATATCCTGTATAAAGAGAGGTGTACAGTATCAAGTAAAGATACAGGCTGATAAAATATTATCTGTTAAGCCTGAATCAGCCTGACATATTTGTTCACAGAAATATAATTCACAGTCACAATCACAGTATATTAAATACATTTGCAATTACGAAACATAAAGTCACAATAACAAAAAATAGAGTCACAATTATGAGTAATAAAGTCACAATTTGGAAATATAAAGTCACATTGCAAAATATTAAGTCACAATTACCAGAAATAAAGTTACAATTACAAAAAAAGAAGAAGAAACCCCCCCCCACAATTTGTAGATATAAAATCACATTGTGAAATGTAAAGTTACAGTTATGCTAAAGAAAATCGCAATTATGAAAGATAAAGTGATATTGTGAGATATAGTGTTACAATTACAATAAATGAAATATACAGTGGCATTGTGAGCTATAAAGACACAATTACAAGAAATAAAGTCACAATCATGAGATATAAAGAGTTATAAATGATCAAACATAATCACAACTTGGAGATATAAAATCACATTGTGCAATATAAACTCACAATTATGCTAAATAAAGTCACATTTGTGAAATATAAAATCACATTGTGCAATATAAACTCACAATTATGCTAAATAAAGTCACATTTGTGAAATATAAAATCACATTGTGCAATATAAACTCACAATTATGCTAAATAAAGTCACATTTATGAAAGATAAAGTGGCGTGTGATATACAGTAATGTTACAATTACAAGAAATAAAGTCATAATTTGGAGATATAAATCACACTGTAAAATATACAGTAAATATACACAATAATCAAGTAAAATTAACATAAAAATTAAACTGACGGACATCACTAAAACAAAATATAAGTCAAGTCAAGTCACCTTTATTTATATAGCGCTTTTAACAATAGAGATTGTGTCAAAGCAACTGAACAGCATTAATTAGGAAAATAGTGTGTCAATAATGCAAAAGTGACAATAGTAAACACTAATTTTTCAGTTAAAGACAGTTCATCATTGAATTCAGTGATGTCAACATCCAGCTCAGTTTAAATAATATCTTTGCAATCAAGTCGACGATATCGCCGGAAATGAAGTGTCCCCAACTAAGCAAGCCAGAGGCGACAGCGGCAAGGAACCAAAACTCCATCGGTGACAGAATGGAGAAAAAACCTTGGGAGAAACCAGGCTCAGTCGGTGGGCCAGTTCTCCTCTGACCAGACGAAACCAGCAGTTCAATTCCAGGCTGCAGCAAAGTCACATTGTGCAGAGGACTCATCTGGTTCCTATGGTCTTGTCCCGGTGGTCGTCTGAGACAAGGTCTTTACAGGGGATCTGTATCTGGGGCTCATCTAGTTGTCCTGGTCTCCGCTGTCTTTCAGGGCTGTGGAAGTCCTTTCTAGGTGCTGATCCACCATCTGGTCTGAATACGTACTGGATCCGGGTGACTGCAGTGACCATCTGATCTGGATACAGACTGGATCTGGTGGCTACGGTGACCTCGAAATAAGAGAGAAACAGACTAATATTAGCGTAGACGCCATTCTTCTAGTGATGTAGCAAGTACATCGGGTGTTATGAGAAGTGTTCCCGGTTCCGGTTGACCTAATTAATGCAGCCTAAAAATCCTTTAACGGATTTGAATATTAGAAATGTGTTAGTGTTATGTGTAAGCCAGGTTAAAGAGATGGGTCTTTAATCTAGATTTAAACTGCAAGAGTGTGTCTGCCTCCCGAACAATGTTAGGTAGGTTATTCCAGAGTTTGGGCGCTAAATGGTCAAATCAAGTTTATTTGTATAGCGCTTTTCACCATACAAATCATTGCAAAGCAACTTTACAGCAAATTAAGTTTCTACGATATTTAGTGGTAGCTTATCAGTGGTGACTGTCAGTTAATGTACATATGGCAGAA